CTTACAAGCTATTGACTTTGCAGCACTAGCCCCCCCACCGTCAACCCCTGGGATTAATGCAGGAAAATAAACTGTGACACAAAGAGCTTGTGACAGTGCACACTTGGGAATGGAAATCTATGTGTGCCTTTCGCAAAGGAAATAAGTCCCTTGGCAACTGTGCCCGATCCACCCTATTTCATGCTTTGTCAACTCCAGGATGGAGTCATTCCAGATGGGGGGTGGGGGACTTAGGGTTTAGCGAGGTGAAAACGTGACATCTGAATGCCGGAGGGAGGAAGTTTGGACCAGATTTACCATATTAACCTGTGGGGCCTCAATTAGATGGAGAAATAGATACGGTCTAGCAGGATGCAAACAACTGTGTGATTCACAATTATACAAATGCATGTTCTATGGACTCTCCATCCTGTGCATTTATAGCCAGCATTTCCAGGTGAGCTCATAACGACGGCTGCAGGCCGCAATCCACCTCACTTGACATGAGTTCTCCTGACATAATATTGTAAATTTAAATCCTCCAACAACACAAGTGGCTTCCACTTAACCTTTAAAACGATAATCAGTCAAGCAAAACACCACTTTCCACAGCATCCATACATGCTGGATAGAAGGGTAAGTACAGGACAATTTAGCTACAAAATATCATTAAAAAATCACCAATGCGTAAATACATAAATACAGCGGAACCGAAAGATCTTGTTTAAAAACATTGTGCATAAAAAATAAAAGTTTTAGAGTAAAAGTATTTCAGATATGATTCTTTGAATATGTGATCATGATTATCAAACAGACTTTCTACCAATATTCAGGAATGTAATGGATATTATTTTTGATACTTCCATGAGAAAAGTTAAGCTAGCTAAAGCTGCCGGCTAAATGTTGCAGACAGGTAGTGGTTATGTGATCTGCTGCTAACAAGAGAATAGGCTGCGTCTCAACTTGTAGACCTGATTATAGAATTCACAATTTCCTTCAAGGCTATTATTAAAAACAGTATGATTTCAGGAGTGGCACTTTTTGTTGATTTGTAGAGTCCAAGTGTTGGAGGTGAGCCGTTGCTTTAAGTGGAGGAATTTAAGTTCATGAATGATGGCAGAATGGAGCAAGACGGATCAGGGATTCATCCGCTGTAATGAGGATGCTGCTTCAGTCTTTGGTGAATAAATTGGGACTATAATCCCAGGGAGACAAATGTCTGAGTGTCCTTCTTGGACTTGCAGCCTCCAATAGCTTCAAAATCCTAGACAGCTGGATGGATGGACCTCAACCTGTTTTATTGAACTTCCCAGAAGAACACAAATGACAGCGATGACCTCTGAGGCCCACCGGGACAACCATTTTTACGACTCCCGAATGAATTAGTGGCTAATCACAATCTATCCTCTGAGAGATGTTGAATTAACTTGTTGATCTGTTTAACTGTTGGGATTTTAGGCTACATAACAGTTATGTTTTGTTCAGGACACAGGAGTTTAACCATCACGTTTCAATAAATTTCTATTGTTTGCTTTAAAATTGCTGTCACAGTCACCCGTAAAGCTTTACAACCAATATTTGTAGGTTCAATATTGTTGTTTTATTTCCAACATGCTGCTATTTAGTTTTTACGACGCCACATGTCATTTCTTCCTTTGGGAAACAAAATGGTTTCACGCCCTTACAAAGTATTACTACCCTGGGAAGATGAATACTGTCCTCTTTAATCCTGCAGTTCAGTCATGCACCCTTCATAAATCACACACACACACACACACACACACACACACACACACACGCGCACAATTATTTCATGCTAATTAATAAGCCTTTGAGAGCAGCGTTATTACTAGCATGACTTACGCGCTAAGTGTGTCCAACTGTATTAAGTCTAGGCCCTGCTGATGAATCAATTATACGTCTGTCCATTTGTGAAGCTAAACGCTTCCCGTAAAAGGTCACGAGCAGCCATACGGTGGAACAGCATGATTAATTCAATAAGACCTGCCCTCTGAACCTACTGTATAGGTTACACAAGGAACACAGTGGTCTGAGATCACTGACTGTTTGGGAGAAATATATGAACTCAATCTTCTGACTCAATGAAGCTGCTGCCATAGTCGCAGAGGTCAATTTTAATCAATGGAGGAAACAGAGTTGGGGGGTCAAACATCAGTAAAACCTTTGAATCGCATTAAAGGCAGCAAATCATTTACCTCACTTGCTCAATTCGTGTTTTTTTTCTTGTATATTCGCTGGACTCAGTGGTAGTTGTTGCCATGGTTACATGTAATCCTTACATCTATCTTATGGAAACTAGAATCCCTTCTTATTGTGGGGAAAATGGGTATAGAGGGAAAGGAAAAGAATGCGACACATATAAAAAAATAAACACCTTGGACCACTCCAAAGACTCTGAGCTTTCAGACAACTTTTCAGGCTATGTTCTTGGACACGTTTTAGAGTTGGGGGTTATTCACAGGACAGAGATTTTAATTCCAAAGCTTAATAAATATATCATAGCTCATGTCCATCCACATCCACCAGAAAGTTTTAACCGCTGTCCAGTCATTCAAAATTTAAAACAAGGTCTTACAAGGACAAGCCTTTTTAGGTGGCTGTTGAATCAGTTCTTAATATATTAATGAATACATGTTGAAAAGGATGGTCAAATTCAAGTTAAATTCATTTTCACCACCAATCCAAAAGGACTAAGAGTCTAGAACAAGTGCTAAAATCATAAAACTGCTAAAACTCACAATACGCCAATGGTATCTAAGGTAAAGGGGAATTGGGGGTACAAGTTAAAATAAAAATGGTCAAGCTATGATCTGAGAAGAAAATGCAGGAAGATCATAACCATGATGTGACTGCAAAAGTCCTTTTGGATTATCAAACAATCTCTTTAACAGTGCAATAGATGAACAAATATCCACATTGTAAAAGGAGTAATCTGAGTAATCTGTTTCTCATCTTACTCAATAAAGTTTAGATGTGGACATTTATAGAAAACCTTAGAAAATAATTTTGGAATAGCTCACATAGACTGGAGAAACACAACTATGGACCACAGCGGTAGAAGGTTTATGGTTTGGACTAAACTTGCAGATGGATACAGAAAAATATAAGTCCATGAGTGATTTTATTTAAAAACACAAACAAAATGGGACTAAATGAAAATGCACAGGTGGGCAAACATTTTAGAAAATCTCTGGAGAGGCTTCACAAAAGCCAGATAATGGGTGAGAATTTCAGCAGAAAAAAACTAAAAGAACAGCACTGAAGGTATTAACTGACGTTGACCATTTCAGGAACAGCTACTCATTTCAACAGCTAACTTGTCGAAGAAATAAAGCACGTTTTCTACATAAGAAGCATCTTATTTTGTAGCTTTTGAAGTTAAACCCTTCAAGCAAATCTGTAACCAGCGTGTGTGTTCAGATTTGACTACTGCTTTGAAAAGGAGACTAATTTCAGCCATATTTTCAAACAAATATACAGCATTTGTCCTTTAATCCAGCATTAGCCTGCTTGGCTCTACCAACCATGCCTCATCCACAACAGAGCATCCCAATCATGTATTCAGAAGGCATATATCTACAGCTCACATGATCCTTTTTATCCCTCTTTTTCTCCTTCCTTCTCTGTGATGAATGGCACCCATCTCAGAGCAGTTAACTAATTATTTCTTCATGAATCTGAGTCAAACAGCTGCCGTCACCAGCCTGTGAGCCGATGACTGTCTCACACAAACAGCAAAACCCCAACTAACGCTCCCCAAACCAGGCAGCCAGCTACTGAGGGGAGCAAACAAGCAGCCAAGCCTACATCCAGAGTGCTGCTAGAGTCACCATGGCAACAGGAAGAGTGATAGAGAGCTTGTTGCTTATGTAATTAAGTAATTAGCAGATATTGGAATAAGTGACACTCAGCATCGACATTTATGGGCAAAGCAACTCTTGTTATTGGCTGCTTTTAACATTTCTATGTAAGAATTTAGACTTTTAAACTATTTTAAAACGGTCATTATACATTTTGCAAATACAAACATTTAACTGAGGCTTTGATAGAAAAAGTGCTATCTGGAGTTTTCATTTTTCAGAAGTTCCATGAACTGAAATCTGTTGAAATGGCATTAAATCCAAATTTATACAAACATAAATTTGAAGGTTGACAGGCAGATTGGGAAAGTGTCTGAACTGGTTTGTTGTGGTGAGGAGAGAGCTAGGCCAGAGAGACGAGCTCTTTACTTATTCTTTGTTTTCTTGGTTCAATGACAAAAAACAGTCATGACCAAAATAAACTACTTCACAAATACGGTTGAAAAAGTGGAGAAAGTTGGTTTCCTTTGAAGGATAGCTGGACTCATCTTTATAAGTAGGGTGAGGAGTTCTGACATTTGGGAGGGACAGGGAGTACAGCCGCTGCTCCTCTACACTAATAATAATAATAATTATACATCAACGTTACATAGCTCTTTTTAGGTCACTCAAAGACGCTTCGCAAAAAGACACTAAAAGGAGTCAGCTGAGGTGGTTCAGGGTACCTCCTGCCTTAAGCAGGTCCTGTCGGAAGGAGGCCCACGGTTCAACCAAGGACGAGCCGGAGGAGTTAACATCACCAACGGGGGAACGCCTTGTAACACAGGTAGAGTTAGTTGAGGTTGATAGAAAGAGGACGATATGGGTGTCACTGCTGGGGATGCTATCCCCCCGTGACCCAGATAAGCAGATGAAAACGAATAAATGAAATTCTAGTTGAATCTTGATTAAAAATGATCTTTTTCATAACTTGAGACAAAACACAAATGAGTTTTCAGTGCAGCTGTTTCAATGTGAAGAAAGTTAAACTAAAGTTAAATAATTTCCCAGCAGGCTTTAGGTTTCCTTGGCTTAGATCAGGCAAACGTTAGGATGAGGTTAATATTAGGGGAGGCCTTTGGATAAATAATGCATTGTCCCCACTGGTGATGAAAAACAGCCTGTGTGAGTGTTTTTTTATTTAGTAGAATGCACACTTACTCTGCCAACTCCTCCAGGCTTCGGTACACATCATCTTCATTCAGGGCTGTGTCCTCAGATGGGAAAGGCCTGATACACAAACAACACACAAAACGAGAGAGAGTTACAAATCTCCTCAACACATCACACTCAACACCGTCCCAGGTAGAAAAACAGCCAGTATGACTTTTTGTGTTCCATCTGTCAGGTTGTCACTCCACACTCCATCACTTCAGCGGCTAAGCAGGAGGATCTATTCAACCGAGGGACCCCATCAGTCACAAACAACGTTGTCAAAACACATCAAAACACTGCTGCTGACAGATAGGGAGCCGCCATCCTCCCAGAACCAACCTGGGCAGGAATTCAGGAGAGGAAACCAACTTTAGAAATTTCTGATTGATGACGGACTTGTATAAATCCTATCAGGAGTTTCAACAATCTTCAGGGACATTTGGAGCAGCATAAAATATGGAAGCTTGGAGCTGTCACTCTTTTTTAAAGGGAGTGACCTTCACTGTTTACAGAAAAGGCTGTATTGGTGTAAAATAACATAAAAACAATGTTTCGTACTGATGCCGTTAAAACATTTCTTATATCTGCCCACGCTGGGTCGACTACTCCAGCTTTTACGATGATCATTAACCAATTAGCGCTCCAAGAAGGTTGGATATGTTTCCAGTGGTTTTAAAGATATGAGATGAAAGTGAATTTAGATTTTGAACGCCCTGTTGACTTGTTGATTTGTATTTTTCTTTTAGTAGCCGAGTATGACTACTAACCATTAGGGTGCAACAACCACAATCACAGCTTAGGGCTGAGCGATATGGACCAAAACCTATACCTCGATATCTCTTAGCTGAATATACAATATATATCTAGATCTTTTTCTTCCTGTAAAGTATTTACAAGTCAACTCCCTTTAAGCAGTCTTGAGAAATTGTATTCATGAATTCATCAGCAGATTAAATGCATGAAAAGTATTGAGTCTTGTCAAACATTAAACTTAATGCCTATTATCTACCAGTCTGAGCTTTAGAAACACTGGTACAACTGTGTCAACACACATGTAGGTTTTTATCAATATGTGTTTTACATGGTTCTTCTTTACATTGTATTTGGAATTGGATTTATTGTAAACTGGGCCATGACTACAATAAATAATCTGTCTGTCTGTCTGTCTATCTATCCCAGTTAAGAGCGAGGCACAGGCACTTTTATTTATAAAATAATTCAAATTCCATCTAGAGGAGGCTCATATCCCATCAACCACAATATTACCAGTAAATAATTTTTGTCCAGAAAAAAATTGATCAGGTTAAGTCAAATTTATGATGTTTTTGCATCTACTGCTCAGGATTACACTCTCGCTCTTTTGGGACTCACTGCTCTCCGTAGCTGTTTCTTGACTACGAGAGGGTGAGGTTTGGCTCATCTCTCACAAACAAGAAAGAGAAATCCGGTTGGCAGCCACAATAAAAAGGCTTGCTGAAACACAAACGAACATCCTCAAAGAATTAAAAATCACAAAGCCAAATGCAAAGTTTAGAGCAATACATTGACCCAGAGGTTTCCTGATTGAGCAGACGCGTGGGAATACATGAAATGACCGCTTAGAGATGGAGCAAGCTAGCTGTTAGCATTGGCAGCTAGCGCTTGTTGCTAATGCTAACGGCTTGACTAGTTATATCAATATTAAGTAATCTTGTTTGAAATTATATCGATATTTTAAATAATATTAATACTACCCAGCCTTTTCACAACTCAATAATATATTATCGTTGGTTTATGTCCCTGTATCCAAATAACTTTTTGGTCGTTTTCTGGATTGTTCGCTACTGTGATGAATTATTTTCTTTAATGCTCTGTCCACACAGGATGAAGACCTTGGTAAGATGTAAAAACATCAGACTTAACTTGAATGATCTATGCAGGATCTTAGAGTATGCAATAATCTGATGCATTGGGTCACGGCTTTAGATGCTAAAAGACAGCTTTTGTGATTTGATGTGAGATTGTGGATAACATTTATTTGTTCAACAAACCAACCAAATTAGACATAACTTGACAGATATAACTATATCCACCATTTCCAGTTTTATAAACAAAACCTTTTGCAAGAGGTGCATGAAATTTCTGCAGCTTTTGAAGACATTCATTAAGACTAGAAATGAATAAAATGAATGAATAAACTATCTGATGAGATGTGATACGAACGTGGGCGTATACATGATAGAACAGTCATGGTTTTAAGAAGGCTGAAAAGCTTTAATTCAATAATGCGTAGAAGGTTGTGTGATGTAAGAAAGTAAAATAAAAATATATATTCTAAAAGAAATGGCAGAACATGGAGAGAAACCATCTCTGCATGTGATGTTGCAGGGTTTGGCGTCACAGACTTTCTCTAATGAAAGAACTCTCATCTCCGTCAGCACTCAGCTCAGAAAGCCTTCGATTGTACTTAATCTATATTTATGATCAAATGACTCAGAGACTTTATGCACGCTCAGTCATCATGAAGAAGCAACTGAAGTGGCACATTAGCAGTTAGCGGACAATTGTCACAGAATGTGGAAGTTAAAGATTGAAAATCAAACTGCAGCGGTTGCACTACAGCAGTCAATTCTTGTGTGTGTATGTGTGTGTGTATGTGTGTGTGTGTGGGTGGGTGGGTGGGTGGGTGGGTGGGTGCGTGCGCGCGCGTGTGTGTGTGTGAGACAAGTAATCAGCCCCTGCTTAATTACAACAACAACCAGCTGTCATGCTAATGAATGTCCAACAAGCTAGTCAAAGGTCAGGAGCAAACACAACATTCCAACAGCTACACGTTTCTTTTCTTCTTTTTTATTTATTTATTTTTTTTACTAAAAACATTTTCTCGTTTCACTTTTATTAAAACATTAAAATCTCTAAATCTCATTACAGAGTTACCTACACAAAATCTGCCCCGTCTGATTTATGCCGACTTCTTCCTTCCACGGTTATGAGCAGCAGAAGGCGCCTCCCTCCCCTCCAGAGCCCAATAACACACCCACACTGATGGCCCCCTCCAATGAAGTGTGCATTATATTTTAAGTTATTAATGGAGTCCCGCAAGGCAAAATCTAATTAGATAGCAGTTTGCAGAGTGCTGTACACGTCTCTATCATCCCTGTGCTGTTTTGTAGAGGGTCCAGTACTCCAGTTTAATTTCCCCCAAATAGTGCAACTAGGTGTAATTGAACTGTGTTCATAATTTCATCAGAGCACCACTGATGAGCCAACACTTGGCAATTTATTGCTGCTTAATGGTCTTTTATGCATGTGTGTTGTTCATGCCCGTTTGTCCCCAAGAACCACTCGATCGGAGCCAATCCTGATTTGTTGCAGCACTGAGACTGAATTTTGTAAATAACTTATTTTCTTGAAAAGCACCTCTTTAGTTTCACGGACGAAAGTCACCCATCATGAAGACAATTTTATTATTTTGAATGACTGTTCACAGACAAGTCTTTTATTAAGCCAGACTTACAACTAACAAATACACAAAATGGTCTAAAACTGAACCTGAAAACCAGCCAGACAGGTTTGCTTTATACTCTTACAGCAACTCAGCAGTTCAATGTTTTTTTTTTAATTTTCTAAACACTAAAATATAAGAAAGCATTTCTTCAGCTGGAGTATCAGATGATACACATGATTAGATTGGAAAAGCCTTATTGCACTATAGATGTTGTTTACTTGTTTATTCAACATATTTGCAGTGTTCCTTAGTGTAAATCAATGCCCTATGAGTTATTTATTGCTCCTGTTCTGAGATGCAGAAGTTTGCTGGTGCACGATTGCTCATCTTTATTATTAATTATATGCACACACCTAGCTTCTGATTGGCTAACGGAACGCATTCAGCCATGTTGCAAAGTCACCATTATCTTCTCCCTGCAAAATTATAAAACTAAATAAATAAACAAAAGACCTCCTGTGGGCGGGTGCAAGCCAAAGTGGGTTAGGCCATGAATGCAAATTCACTATGTGACATGGATATGAGAGGATTTTCACATCCTAGCATTTCACCATCTATTTTGTATCAGAAGCTAATGCAGGAGTTTGGTGTAGAAGACTGTTTTCATGTTCAGACTGCATGAAAAACTCAGAGTGACTGATTATTATCAGAAATAATAGTAAAAAAAATGTGTCAGTCAACCATACCTTTAATGAATATATTACCTAAACAGCAGGCTCACTGAGAAAACATGTTTTACTTATTATTTTTGAAAATGATCAGACAGTGACTCGGAGTTTAAAGCTGTTATACGGAATACAAACAAGCACAGTATCAAGTATCTTCCTTGAGACGGTGCTGGAACCAGAAACCCACATTGCCACAGTTAAAGAGAACGTGCTAAATACCAGGGGCACCCTGTGGGGGACGCTCCAGGAGTAAGGGGTGGGTGGCTTTCTGTTAAGGGCCATTCAGTCCCTTTACCAGAGGAGCGTGAGTTTGGTCCGCATAGCCGGTAGTAAGTCAGACCTGTTCCCGGTGAGGGTTGGACTCCGCCAGGGCTGCCCTTTGTCAACAGTTCTGTTCATTACCTTTATGGACAGAATTTCTAGGTGCAGCCGTGGTGTGGAGTGTGTCGAGTTTGATGGCAGGAGAATTTCGTCTCTGCTTTTTGTGGATGATTTGGTCCTCCTAGCTTCATCCAGCTCTGACCTTCAGCTCTTGCTGGGTAGGTTCACGGCCAAGTGTGAAGCGGCTGGGATGAGGATCAGCACCTCCAAATCTGAGACCATGGTTCTTGACCGGGAAAGGGTGGCTTGCCAACTCCGGGCCGGGGGAGAGGTCCTACCTCAAGTGGAGGAGTTTAAGTATCTTGGGGTCTTGTTCACGAGTGAGGGTAGGAGGGATCGGGAGATCGACAGGCGGATTGGTTCAGCGTCTGCAGTGATGCGGACGCTGAACCGATCTGTCGTGGTGAAGAGGGAGCTGAGCCAGAAAGCCAGGCTCTCGATTTACTATCTACGTCCCAATCCTCACCTATGGTCATGAGCTTTGGGTAATGACCAAAAGAACGAGATCGCAGATACAAGCGGCCGAAATGAGTTTCCTT